TGGAAACATGTTCTTACTGTCAAAAATTGGTAAAAAAATGGCCCGCTGAGTTTCTTTCGACGATTGTTTTCAGGTCAGTAGCTTTTTCGAACCGGTAGTAGTATTTTGACAACCAGTAAGTGAGTGTAATGCTCCTATGTTAATAGATATTTCATTAGAAATAACTTAAAAGTTTCGACAACACTTACGCCCTGTTTTTGAAAGACTGATCATCGTAGATGTCAACTAATCAGCTGTCAAATGGCTTTTCAAATTTAATTTTAGTTGTCAAAAGGATGGTTAAACTCTCTGAATTGACCAGAACAATCTTCTTAATGATCCGCATGATCAATTCAAAGAGCATCCTTTTGGCAACTCAAATGATATTTGAAAAGCCATTTGACAGCTGATTAGTTAACATCTACGATGATCAGTGTTTCAGAAACCGGGGGTTAGTATTTTTCGATAAACTCCCAGAAAATTCTTAAAAACAAAATTTTATTAATACTTTTTAATAGTATTTACCAACGTGTCCTCGAGTAAGCTATAAACATGTGGAACCTACAACGCCGGCGCCTGCGGTTGCCTCCGAAGATATACTCTGCGCGATCAGCAAGTTGGCATCAGTGCTGCGTGCGCGCACCTATGGTGAACTTGCTACTCACACGCCCGCCTAATTTCAATTTTCGAACGTTAACTTTTTAAACGTCGGTGTTGTGCTGTGAGTGTTGTGTGTTGCTTTTAAGGTAATTTTTTATTATTATTGAGGGCAATATGGTAGAGAAATAGTAAATAATTACTACAATTTTTTTTAATTGAACAATATAGCTTTTAAAATATATTTTGACAAATTGTATGATATATATCGAACACTGAATCCTGTGTTATGTTGTTCTTAATTTTGATTTACTTTCTTAATTTCATAGCTATAATTATTGTTTATAATATATTATTTTTAGACATAAGTATAATATTCATCTCATATGTAAGCATTATAAAACGGGTAACGTAATTTAAGTCGGCCAAATTTTTTAGCTTTAAAAAAATAAATTAATAATATCAGATAACTAATAAATGTAACTATTCAGTAATTTCAAATCGATTTCAACACAAGCAAATTCATTAATATTTTCAAGTCTTTATAATATTTTTATATCATCTAGCTAGGTATCATTCTGTGAAGGATCTTAGAATTTTATTAATGTAAAGGTTTTAGATCTGAATAGATAACGGCATCCGATTATGAATATTGGGGTTGAATAACCATGAATGAATGTTAAAAGACTTGAATATATTGATATAGATAATGTGCAACGTAAATATACCGAACAAATTGAGGAACAACACCTAGACATCTCTTCACTTTCGTTTTTCAAGCATGATTTTCAAGTTTCAAATGTTATTTATCGTCTAAACGTCACACATAAGCACGTAAAAAACATCATCTATTCCGAAAACGAAAGAAATTAGCTCGTAACAAATTAGAATTCTCTGAGACACATCCAAAGGTTCCGGCACATTGTCATTGAATAGATCTTAAGAAATTAGAACTATCTAAGCCACGTCCCAGCGTTCTTTCCAGCTATTTGGTCATCGCACCTACTGTATTTTATACGTACGTCGGGATATCGTTTAGATTAATTCGATCGACCTACTATATGGAACTGCCAACTGATTTTACGTAAGACGTTACACGGAATTCGCAACAGACGATATTTAGAAATGCATCACGTTTCGAGTCATCGCCCGTTTAGTTTGTATCGAGACGAAAATAAACATGCCAAAAAATACCCGTGACTTAATCCTTCACAATAGCATTTCTATAACGCTTTTGAGTCGTGTAATAATTTGATTATTGCCGGAATTCAAAGGAGAGTTCGTTGTTAACATATCATCATTATCCACCTGCTCTCATTGTACCTAGATAGGGTCGGCAAAACATGTGAATATGTCATTGGGTTTAAGCTATGGATTTTTACGACCAGCACGACAGACCTGCTTGACGTCAACTTTGCCCCAGACAAATAAACACCCAGATCCGGAACAATCATCTGTGGGTCACACAAATACTTGTCCCGTGAGTAAATCGAACCCACAACCCCCGACGCCGAAGCCTTAGCAACTGCGCCACGGAGTCAGTTCGTTGTAACACGAGAAATATTGCACCGCACATCCTACGTAAAACGGCGTGCAAACATTTTTATAGTTTTTACTGTGTATCGTTTTTAAATATGAAATCGTCACGTTTGAATTTTGTAAAAATATTCCTAAATAACATTTCAAATGATGAAAAGAAATTGAAGATGTTGCGTCATGGAAATTGGCTTAAAAAGGTACGGGAAAAATAACATTTATAATTTCTTAATAAAACTGTTTCCGTTTTTTCGCGTTTAATTTTGATTTTTATTCCCGACATTTCAAACCATGAGTTTGAAACGTCATTCGAAACAAGGTTCATGGTCACGGGATAGACTGAGACGTTTATTTGTCCAAAATGTTATAGTCAGTGAAATGTCACACAACTTTTATAGAACTTTGCATTTTTAATATCGGATGTTACAAATATTTCACTTTCACTTTCACTTAAAATTTTTAATTAATAGATAATGAACTATAATATAAATACATAATAACTGAGAGCTCGGTATCTAAACTGGCAGAAGATTATTTGGATAGACTGAGGCGGGAGCCAAAAAAACTTTAATGCTTACACGTAAAACGATTTCCTTAAAGTATTTACGTGAGTTCAAGAAATCTCGATGCTATTTATGATGCATAATGCATCATTGGCATGCCTAACACAGGGAACACTAAGTTCTATTGTACTACATAAAACTGTTATTGATTGCAGTAAATAGTATTATGTCCATTTATATTTGTCAAGTAAATAAGGATTTAGATGGTTTATCTTTGTCGTTTTCAAGGATTTCAAGTAATAATGACAATAAAATATGTAGATACTTATAACAAGATACGTACAATGTTAACAATTTATAAGATGCTCTTCAAATGTTTCAAATGTAGTAATAAAAGCTTTATCTCGAGTAGGCGGAGATAGCAAAACCTATTCACGTGTCACCCAGGTAGAGATTGAGAGATCCCAAAATGTGCCCCATAAACAAAGGTGGTGGAAATCTGAAAAACGGGAAATTTATTGGAATCTGCATATGGCGATCAGTATTTCTTTAATTACGAGGTCACTTCATCATTTAAAATACCTAAATGAAATTTAATTTGTTTTAAGTCATATGTATTTATTTCAAACGTATTAATAACGTAAGATGTAGGTGTACCGCCACATCTAAAATGTGATCTTTTGTGTGTATATTGTTCGGCACTGCGAGAATCGAACCTATGCCTTCTCGGTAACGCGCCCAAACGACCAACTGTACCGTTTAAGCTAAGCGGCCGATGATCCACGGTGCGAAAATTTCGACATTTATCTACGTTTTTTATTTCATTTTTAATACTGTTCGGTGCTATCTAGAACGGTTTATGAAACAGTCTATGAAACCTTATAAAAGCATTTAAGGATGAACATTTGTAACGAGAGATGTCACATTTGCTCGTAATCCTAATGTGCAGTATTTGCACAAATACACGATATCAGAGCAAGCAAGTTTTTTGCACATGTAAAATGTGCAAAAAACATGCCCGTCTTTAAGGCGTCTCATCTAAAGAGCTGAGTCACCAAGTTACCATCAAGTGACTTGGGCTAATTACTTGACAATGAAAGCTTACGCATTGCTGTAGGAATTCGTTCTTTTAATTTTCAGTGCCGAATTATCACGTATGCAGCGGAAGGAAAAGATCGTAATGAAACCTGCATATTTTCGAAATAATAATTAAAAAAATATTTCGAAGATATGTGAAGTCCGCCAATCCGCAGTGGGGCCGCGTGGTGGACTATGCCCTAATCCTCTGTACAGAGGAGGCCTTTGCCCTGCAGTGGGACATTTATAGGCTGTTACTTATTAGGCTGTATGTATATATTTATATACTTTACTTTTCTAAGGTTCAATATAATAATAATCAGTACTTTCAAGCCTCGGAGAGGAGCTCCGAGGCTTGAAAATACTGATACTTGGTTATGTCACAAAACATCTGTATCGATTAGGCTGGTATGAAACAGTCAGTTTGTGATGTGTCTATTGCACATCTGACAAAAGATTTGAACAGCTATTTGTCAGGAGTGCAGCCTCAGCAAATACGTTTAGACGAGATCGGATGAGTAAATCTACACGGACGTCATTAGCTGTGATAAAGGATTACACCTATATCCTTATCCACGGACAATGGCAGGACCCGTCACTGAGCGTTTCCGACAGAGACACCGTATGGAAGGAGAAAGAGCACCACGGGAGGTGCTACAAGGCTCTACACGAGTCATTCGTAGATACTGTTGCCTCCCTTGACTGTTTACGTTTCGGTGACCTCTTTGGGGAAACCGAAGGTTTTGTTTGTGCGATACAGCATAAGATTAGTAAGACGAACAACTATCGGAGACCACGATTTGTCAACCACACCAATGCCGTTGGTATCAAAGAAGATAAATATGGTTTCAACGGGTTTTCTTGTCGAAATAGTGCTGGCCGCTTTTCGCGCCACGGTTCCCTGAACGACATCATCCGTAGGGCTCATGTTTCCATCGAAGTTCCTTCTACATCCGCGACGATGGTAAGAGATACGACGACTTGACTTTGATCCCTTGGTAGAGAGGTAAAGCCCTCGTTTGGGGTGCTACTTGTGTAGACTCTTCAGCTGCCTCTCATCTAAGGGGTAGTTCGCCGTTTGCTGTTGTAGTTTAGATCCGTTTAGATCCATGTTTACGACCTATACTTATGGCCGCGGCTGGCGAGGGACAAACAAGCTGGTTCTTTCCTCGCTCAAAGGTTGAGCTAGGGTTCTTGGAACCGTACCTAGATTTAATGGTATTAATACCGGTGTAACTACTAAAGTAATGTATTGTCAAAATTAATTATTGTAATACAACTTTTTCTCAGACAGATCATCGCAACAAGATGGAGCCACTGCTGGTAGACGTTGTCCATTTCTACCCTAAAGAGAACGCTCAGCCGCATAACGCTGTCAAGTAAGTAAAAGGACTATTTTTTTTTAATTATGTTAATATTTTTTAATTAATTTTTTGTTGAATATGGTAGACGGACGTAGCCGTTTAAGGCGTAATTTTTTTATACTTATTGTATATTAAAGGAACTTATTCACTTTTGGCTTAAAGGCAGACTTTCGCTGTACGCAAAATGAACGATGAAGCCGTTTCTTTGATAAAATCAGCAATAACTCTACGATATGTACGTAATATCATTCAATTTTAAATTATAGGCTAAGACATATACAGCGTGTCGTTACCATCGCGACAATAAATGAACACACATATAGGGGATAACTTTTTAAAGTTGTAATAAACATTTAAATTCTTTAAACATCAATATTTACAGAGTTATTAAATTTGAGACAAAACATACTGTTAGAAAGAGAGGCTTGTAATACGACGCTGTAGCGCGAGTTGTATAGGATGTTACGAATTTTGTTTCTTTTTTACTTCATTAGTTTGTTTGAAAAATATTTTTTTTAATTATGGATTTTGTTTAATGTTAATATTTTTTTATGATTATTGGCAAGTAGCGTTAGACGTGTGTTTAATTATTGTCGCGATGGTAACGACACGATGTATAAATAGTTTCTAAGTATATGTGTTTTAGTCTATAATTTGTAATTGAATGATTCGGTACAGCATCGCGTACATGCTATGCAAAATGAGACTTTCACTCCAATACTGGTTTAAGACAGACTTGCTGTCGTTAATTAAGAGAAAAAGAAACTAGTTTAAATAACGATATGAAAATGTTACCAAAATTAATTAAATGTATCTTGATTCCGGATTTCATAACAATAATGACTGTCAATCATACGTGTATCGAGGGTAATTTCAAGCACGGGAGGTTAAATTGCAATTTTACGAGATTATTAAGATGCTCTGAAAACAGATTATGAAAATACTAGGCGACCCGACAGACGTGCTGTACACAAGAATTAAATCAGACAACAACTTATACATATGCATTTAGTAAAAGGCAGTTATTTTAATGTTACAAACAGACACTCCAATATGATTTATCTGTGTGTATAGATAAAGATTAAGGTACATTGACCAAACCGGTACAGTTATATCAGAATGCTTGAAGCGTTGAACAAGTCTGATTAATTCGTCTTGAAATTATGTTCCGTTCGATTCCACGGACGGCGCTTGGCTCTATGTCGTGGGTTTGATACCGACGATAGTTAAAAACTTGTATGTTTCATATAAATATTTATTTCGAGTACGGATGTGATTTGTGTTAATAATCACGTTTGTACGTGTACCAGATACGTAACACAATAAAAACGATTGTATATTATTTGTCGTTTTATCGTTGTAACTTTGGCGTGTCTTAATTAGCAAAAAGTAAAGTACCTGTCAGAATATGCACAAAAGAGCCAGTCAATTCTGTATAGCTAGTATTTTGTGTATAAACAGTAATTGATATTACGATTTCTTGTAATAGTTTAAGTAGAATTAGTCATTATTATCTAAATGTCATAGATTCGAAGTGGTGAACGAAGAGAACCCAACAGTGACTATAGTCAGGCGAGGCCAACCTTTCAACGGCGTGGTCAGGTTCACCAGACCCTTCGACGAGAATGAGGACATCATTCAGCTAGTCTTCTCACTCGGTAATTACCATTTTATTAATGCTCTGATCTTTATTTTTTTTTATTTAGAAATAACGACCCCTTGGTAATTACCATCGTTTACTAATGCCCTGATATTTATTTACCAATAGACGACCAAGATAAATACAAACTAATTAATAAGTACTATAAAAATAAGCTGAAGTGTGTTTGTTTGCCGTTCTTTCGCGCGGGAACAGAGCAATCACTTAGTTTTTGTCCCCTTAGCTTGTGGAATTAACATTCCAGAGTTTATAAAAAAAACACAGTTTCTATTGGAGAGACCTCTCGAATAATTCTGTGATTATTTACGCTTACGTACCAACCTCCTCCCTTGTACAGATGGTATTAGGGGATAGTCCACCAAGCATCCCGTCTGCGAATTGGCGGTTTTCCCATATCTTCGAAATATGTTTTCTAAAATTACTATTTCGAAAATATGCCGGTTCCCATCACCGCTGAGCACGTGATAAGTCAGCATTTAAAATTGCAATTAACAATTTCATTGGTGCCGGCATTGAGATTGGACAAAGGTTGCTCGAGTTTATAGAACTAGCTTTTTGCCCGCGGCTTCGCTCGCGTTGAAGCCTTTTAAAAACTATATATATTTTTAAAGAAAGATATTTTCAACCCTTTACAACAATTTTTTCCAATTACAAAATAGCCTATGTCTTTTCTCAGGGTCAAATTTCATTTAAATCGGTTCAGTAGTTTTGGCGTGAAAGCGAGACAGACAGACAGTGTTACTTTCGCGTTTATAATATTAGTATGGATTAAATAATACCTGAGCACTCAAGGCTCTAAAAATCGACTACAGCGCAATCGGAAGCATCTTTCAAGAGGTTTGCCGGTCACCATCATCGGCACCGGTAGCTACCGCGGCTCGGGTTCTGTTCACAGTTGTACACAGATCTCAAATCTTTGTACACGCTGTACATTAACTATTTCTCAGGTGACAAACCCCAGATGGACACGCAGGGATCGATGTTCATTCACCGCGACGCCGTCCCCGACAAACACAGCTGGACAGCGAAGCTGCTGGAGGTGCAAGGAGACACCGTCTCCTTCGAGGTGAGGATGCTAACTGTCTTATTAGAAAGGAGGTTCCCAAACTCTTTTAGACCACACAATGACTCCTTTATCATAATGGTTATCCAGTGATAGGCAAATAAACATGGAAGCATTATTGTCGCTCCAAAATTACATAACGATGAACTATGCCGTGACGGCGCGTGGCTTATAAACCGTACCGAGAGGCGGTTTTGAATATAAGTTGTTAAAGTTAGGTTTAATTATGTTTAACTTATATTTGCCAAATATTTTAATCACCAATTTAAAATAAAAAATAAAAAATTGTAGTGGACCGAATTGTGAATCTAAAAATTCTCGAACCGACCTGAAGACAGACAAAAAATTTAATTAAAATCGGTCCAGCCGTTTAGGAGGAGTTCAGTGACAGGCACACGTACAGAAGAATTAATATAAAGATATATGTTACATACTCGTACTACTAAAAGTGTCTAGAAGAAGCCTATGTCGACTTACTAAAATAAATATCATCGGTTTTAGATTATTTAAAAAGGCTCGAAGCTTTATTCCGATAGGAATATACACTGCATTTTTCAACTTGATTGAAGGTTGTTTGTACCAGTTTTTTTACGAACACCTATCGCATTTAGTACAGACAGACCAAATGGCGATATAGTGTTACTAACGAGACGAGTCTTGCCTATGTAGTAGTTCTTTTTATTTTTGTGTGTTGGTGCTAAACTTAAAAAATAAAACACATTTGGTACTTGGCTGACTGTTTCGCCGGCGGGAATTGAGAGTGTTTTATTAACTTGACTCAGGCCTTAGTAAAAAAGTTTATGCATGCATGACACGTCCGCTCCCAATGCAGTAAGGTTGGCAATAATATTTAATCCGTTCTAAATGCTATTTGGTAGTTACAACATCACAGACATAAGCTCAGTTACGATTATATCATCAAAAGTCCGTGGCGCAGTTGCCAAAGTATTGGCTTCGGCGTCGGGGTGCGTTCCATCCCTGTGACCCATCGATAGTTGTTTCGCATCTGGGTGTTTGTCCGCGTGAAATTCATGTTTGTAAAACGTCCTTGCATCACATAATGTTATCACATTATGTTTAGGATAATGTTATCCTAAAGTAAGGGCAATGATTTTTAAGGAAAAAAAAAAGTTTGTGTAAATATCTATTGTTCTACTCCTGTAGCATAAATAAGCCGTCTGGAGTCTAGAAGTACCACGATCCCACAGCAGACGGGTCTGGCAAACCAATTGCTTGGTGCTATATCTTTGAATGAATTAAAAGAATAAATTATTAAACAAAACCAGAAGAAACCCCAAGTATAATGTAGTAGCAATGTTAACTAAATTATACTGACGCCATATTGAAATGATACGTTATGTCACTACCGAAACTGAGACGAATCTAATGACACCTCATATTGTAATCCGTGAATGTTCTTAGGCTATAAAGCGTGCCAGATAATTAGGCATATACACATAATTATGCTCGATTAAACATTACTCTCCTTCGGTTGTCGGGTAAAAAGAGAAATTGGTAAACAGGTCAGGTCTATTCAAGTGGAATCTTAGCCTAGTTAAGAATTCCACGCGAGCACAACCGAAAGGTTATCTCTGCAATTGACCTTTTGCAAAAAGATTGAGAAACAACTAAACACGGTAAACACAGGTGCGTGATAAGAATCGTCTCATGCACTTATTAAACTTTACTTGTTAAGTTACCTATACATTATACTTATGTCCTTTTTCACATTATTATAAAAACGTAACGTAAAATAATCCTGTGTCGTAGAACCTAGGTCCTAGAGGTCATAAATTGTACAGGGAGAAACATTTAGATCCGAAACAGTTTCACACACAATTATTTTCAATTAGCTATTATCATTATTATACATAAACGATGCCGATACATTCACCAGAAATTAATATTCATTGCAGCAACTTTTTTATACTAGTTAGAGGTGTTTTTTTTTTCATTGGGGTCAATAGTTGAAAAATCGGGCCAAAAACTAGAAAGTTTTCAATTAAATTCTTATTGGCGTGTCGACGACAAATTCAGAATCGGCAGATCTGGATATGATTGCAAAAACTGCTTCAAAATTTAATATACATGCCGCGGTCCGCCATAAATGTACTAACTGTTGGGTACGGAAATCAATATTACAACTTCATACTTATTATAATTACAAATCATAATCGCTACTATTAAGAAGTGCTTGTTTGTTACACTTAAGGGCTGTTGCCTTTTGTGATAGTTGATTATCTCTATTAGATATTCAATCTTATTCTATAAAGCTATACACATAACCATTAGAATAATATTATTTGAACGATTATTTGAAGTTAAGCCACGGACGTAAAGAGAGTACTGGCTTTTGTGTTTCGATTTGTTTATGTGATAAGTTAGTAAGCCGGCAGGCGGTTAACCTGATGTTTAGTGATTACCACCGCCCATAGAATGTACAACACCTGAGGAGCTGCATAGTCAATCCTTATAAACAGTACGCTCGGCTACCTTACTTACCGAACGTTTGTCTGGTGGTAAAATAATAGGGACAATTAAGGTTGGCTTCGTTACTGCAAAGCAATTGGATTTTGAGTCTGCGTTAAGGCCATCTAAATCTACCCAGCGAAGAATATTATACGAAGAACGTGTGACAATTTTAATAACGGCATAATAAATACATTCTTTATAGCTTATATGAATTCAAATAATAGTAATTATTTACATTATTATCACTTATTTTCTAAGTAGAAATATCAATAACGAACGGATGCGGATGACTTTTAAACCCATAACTGGTTGGCTAGCATATGACCGGTAATAGAATATTCGTTGGTGGTAAAATAATTAGTTCAGTCAGTAATAACTTTCATTAATCTCGAAAATCTCTGTACACAGGGAATCAGAATTTAGCCTACTAGATAGATACTGAGCAACCTCGGATGTTATGTCATTAGTACAGAATCTTATTGTTAGGGTTTACATTTTTTATTAGTTTATTATACTTTGAGAAGATGTAATAAATACATGTATAATTTGAATGACGAAATCATCTAAAGAATAAAGTGAACATTTAATAGTGTTTATTTATTTCAATTTGTTATTTATGTTTATAAAGAAGTTCTGTGTAATCAGACGAAAAGCGGAGACAATTAAATAATTTAAAAATAGAGAATTCAATTTTTAAATACTTCAAACTATCCGCAGCGGTCAAATGGCGGACTTCAGTATTACGCAATGAATGCAAAATTTAATCGGTCTAATCTGTTACGTGATTTGGGGTTCTATCCTTAGATGCTGGAGGTGAATACAGAGGTTGTGTTTTAAAACGTTTACTAAGTGGTTTTTTACAACTTCTTAGCCTTTGTGTATTTGATAGCATTTGTAATGGAAAACGTTTCTCGTCTAAAAATAAAAGCTGATTTTTTATAAAAATAAAAGCTGAAATTTTCTAAAAATAAAAGGTGACGTTGATTGACACAATCAAGTTAAACTTGATTGTGTCAATCAATTTGAATAAGAATTCCAAAAAATGCACTCAATGATTTTAAAAATCTGTTGTCTGAAATGAACTTATATTTGAACATAGTGAAATAAAGAGTAAAGTGTCTCCGCCTATACACGTTTCCCACTGCTGGGCAAAACCCTCTTCTGTACAGAGGGTATTAAGGCACTCCACCACGCGACCCCACTGCGGATTAGTGGACTTCACATATCTTTGAAAATATCTTTTTTCGTTGTCATTTCGAAGATATGCAGGTTGCCTCACGGTGTTTTCCTTCACTTGAGCACGTGATAAGTCAGCACTTAAAGTTAACAACTTGTTTGGTGCCGTCACCGGGGATCGAACACAGGTAGAGCATATTGAATTAAAAGTGAGCGCCCGGACAATTATTCTTACTTGAAAGATTAATAACATAAATTCCAGATAATTTTACTGGCCTCTGAACTGTGAAGGATATTTATTTGACCGGTTTCTTGTAATTCCGCTAAAATAGACAACACTTTATGTTCATTGGAAACGAGTATCTACATATGTACAAAAACATACCGGTTTCAAGACAACAATATTACCATAATATTATATTTTCTATACGCGGATTTAAATGGCGTATCTAATAATTTCTGATATTAGCTATGTTCCTAACGAGTTTTATTATTTGAAATCAATAAAATATTATGTGAATTTGAATATTTCGGACATTTCCACGGCTCCAAATCTTGTATAGATTATATGTAATAATCAAAAAGTGAACCATAAAATCTGTGATAAAAAAGAAAAGAATTTTCTTAATGCCATTCAAGTTACTGAGACCTGACAAGTGTATTAAATACATTGAACAACATGAATTGATTAATAATAATGTTGAGAGCCGTGATAGCTCAGTGTCCGGGCGCTCGCCTTTAATTCGATAGACTCGAGCAACCTGAGTTCGATCCCCGGTGCCGGCACCAATGAAATTGTTAATTTCTAGTGCTGAATTATCACGCGCTCAGCGGTGAAGGAAAACATCGTGAGGAAACCTGCATAATTTCGAAATAATATTAGAAAAAAAATTCGAAGATAATATGTGAAGTCCGCCATTCAGCAGTGGGGCCGCGTGGTGAACTATGTCCTGATACCCTCTGTACAGAGGAGGCCTTTGCCCAGCAGTGGGACATATATGATATGGGCTGATACTTTTTACTTTACTTTATGTTTGTTTATTCAATCTACTAATTTTATATGATAACTAACACTAAAAGTAGCATCAATTACATTGAAATGTTAACGTCGGCAGCCATACTAGTATAAACTATACTTTACGCATCGTCATCCAAGTATGCTATTATTAAAAAGGAGCTACCGACGTGCATGACGAGGATGAGACAATCGTAATAATTAGTATAACCAAAAAGGAGTATATTGAAAAACGTTAATATAAACGTACGCGTTAAAATGGGTGATCTCTATTATAAGCTGCGAGTTTACAACGTTATACGGACCAGCTGAAGGATGAAAAAACGCTGACATTATTTACAGGTATCCACGCCGGTTTCCCTGCCGATTGGTTGCTGGGCCCTCCGAGTTGTCTCGAGACTGAAGAGCTCATCGGCCAAGGAGTTCTACGACTTCGATCAGGACATCTACATACTTTTCAACCCTTGGAATCCAGGTGGGCTTTTCAGATTATACTGTGATAATAAATATCTGTTCTTCAGAATCATATCCAAAAATATTAGATATTTATCGCCATGCAACATGAGCATTTAGAGAAATTTATTAAAGTATTTGTGGAAAGCAATATTATACACAACAGTAATATCATAAATTCGAATGACATCAGATGTAATCCAAACGAATATAAAATACTAAAACTGAAACAAGAAGTTTTACACATAATCAGAATACGAATATAAAGATTCAATAAAAAGGTAGCAAGAAATATCTCGATAAATAACCTCAATTTACACGTGTTGTAAGAGAAGAAACTTTGTTTAATAATAAACACTAAGCTTTAGAAAGCTTAAGACACTATAGCTTGACTTTATACACTTGATAGCCAAAAATATCGATAGGGTAAAAAAAATTGAGTATATTAAAATATATTGATCGCTTGCAGATGACCAAACGTACATGGAAGACAGCGCCCTACTGCAGGAGTATGTGCTGAACGACGTGGGCAAAGTGTGGGTGGGACCGATCAAGACCACGCGTGGGAAGCCTTGGTTCTACGGGCAGTTCGATGCTTTGGTGCTCCCAGCGTGCATGTTTATGTTGGACAGAGCCGAAATGCCCTTTCACCAGTTAGTATGCGTCTCATACAAACTTGTGGGCCGTTTAGTGGATCTCGTCTTGGTGTCAACGATCGAGTTTAAAATTCAATTCACTCCTTTTTTTTGGAGAAACTCAGTTTTTCTCGTCAGCGAACAACGCGAAGAAATTGTTCCATTAATTTGATGATCGAAATGAGCTGAGGTCGGACATTTGTAACTGTAAATTAATATTAAAAGAAATTTCTTTATCCTTTATTGTGTCGATGAGGATAAACGATGTGCTGTATCGTTCTCTAATATTGTATCATCGAACTCTCCACCTATTATTATGTTTTTACAAGGATATCTTACAGTTAAACATTTTAACATTTTAAGAATCTTTCTAGTGTTATAAAACATATGTGTTTCTCTTTTTTCTGTGGCCTGTATATTACTATCACTATAAGATTAATATTAGTTATTTCAAAGGCACATATTTCAATTCGGCTACCCCTCCTTCTCGATTTGATCAGCAACATGTTCCGATTACGTAATCCTTCTATTTTCAGAAAGCCTTTCTCTATTCTTCCGTGATTCTTTATTGTTTCGTCTTCGTCTTTATTTCCAGGCGTGGGGATCCAGTGAAAATGGCGCGCGTGATCTCACGCATAGTCAACTCCAACGATGACGCCGGAGTGCTCATCGGCCGGTGGGACGGCCAGTACGAGGACGGTACCGCGCCCTCCGAGTGGACCGGATCCGTCGACATCCTCGCCCAGTATCTGGAGACGCAGCAGGAGGTGCCCTACGGCCAGTGCTGGGTGTTCGCCGGCGTTGTCACCACAGGTAAAATATTGATACACCATCGTTGGCCAGTGGGTTGATGAGCCAATACAGCTTCGGTTGTCAGCTCCACCCCTCTACTAACGTCAATTAGGTTTCCCCAATCTATTTACGGTGAGAGAACATCGTAAGGAAACATGCATATTTTCGCAAAAATAATAACATTAAAAATTGCGAAGATATGTGAAGTATGCCAAACCGCAGTGGTGTCGCATGGTGGCACGCCTTAATACCCTCTGTAATAGGAGGTATTTGCTCAGTAACAATAGCTCCTTTGTTCACTCTTGTGCAGTATTAATATAATTGCACTAACAACTCGTTTTGGTTAATATTATCGTAAATTTTATTATATATATTTACTGTGGTAGGGCCACGCAACAGCATTTTCTGTTGCACTAATGGGCAGGTCTGTCCGGGTAAGTACCACGACTACAGAAGACCGGCGTATCATGAATTGAGGCAGTCGGGGCCCACTATACAATAAGGTAGCAACGCATCTGCAACTCCATGGGTGTTGCAAATGCCTATCGGTTATCTTTTGCATCAGGTGTATCGCCAGCTAATTTGCCACCTCACATGAAATAATAAAATACTTCGCAGTCTGCCGAGCCCTGGGAATACCGTCGCGCGTGGTCTCCAACCTCGTGTCGGCTCACGACGCGAACAGCTCGCTGACCGTGGACAAGTACTACACGGAGACCATGGAGGAGTTGGACTACGACCCCAACAACCCGGCCGGGGCGGACTCCATATGGAACTATCACGTTTGGAACGACGTATGGATGGCTAGACCTGATCTGCCGCCAGGTAATAATTGAGCACAGGCTTAAATAGATGCAGAGGTCCATTTTGCGCTGTCTGCACACAACTCTTTTGTTAAATAACGTTGTACATACATTCTAGGTCGGTAATGTCTACGCTTTACTTTTATAATTACGCCTGTAAAGAAGATGCACAGAGGTCCACTACTTTGCGTTGTCTACATTCATCTTCTTTTTTTAATAAGTTTAATTAATAATTAACTGTATAATAACGATTAGTGTCAAAACATAAAAGTACTCAAGGACGTCAGTTACTACGGCCAGTTGCTTAGTTCAGTTAAAAAGGCTGGTTATCTGCTAGCCAGGCACCGACCTACTTTTTGACTCGAGCTATTTTTATCAATCCTAGGATAATTTTGAGCGCCTATTGGTGAAGCCTGTTCCCTTTTGGTGTCACGAGACCATACAAAGCACTCGTTTAAAACGAGTAATCAGCTTTTAACCTGTGGCAAATCGGTAGGTTACGGCGGTTGGCAGGCGATCGACGCAACTCCACAGGAGACATCCTCCGGAATGTACCAGTGCGGTCCAGCGCCCTTGGAGGCGATCAAGCAAGGGGTCATTGGCCTGGGCTACGACGTGGAGTTCATGCTGTCTTCCGTCAACGCCGACCTGATGCGCTGGAGGAAGGACCCCGACGCGGAGAGCGGCTATTCCATGGTGGACACGAATAACTACCAGTGAGATTTATTGTGGATTACATTTGATAATTTCAGCTCGCTGAGCGACTTTGAGGTTCCCCATACGGCCAGCAGTGATTGAACACGTCTCGGTTTCGTATGTCTTCAAACATTGAGGGAAATTCTAAGAGAATATTTGCCGAAGTTCCTCGTACGCTGCCCATCAGAGTTGCATTCGCCGATTGACCTCTTCGTCTTGTTGGACTTACCTTTTTTTACGAGGGAAAAATCCTTTATGGCTCCCCTGCCACCGGATGGGGGAGGGGGTGGCAGGGGTATGTGGGAGTCCCAGTCAGAAGCGGGTACCCACTAAAAAGCCCACGTTGCACCTGTCTCTGTAGCATCAGCCGGGGACACGGGAACACGTAGACGCAATCTTCCGTGATAAGTTGGACTTACGTAGGCGAACTCACTGTCATTACTAACTGATGATACATTAAGGGAGGGTGGCGTAAAGAGTAGTGTGTGAACAAGAGAATGTATGAATGAATGTATGGAAGAGGCGAATGATGTGCAAGTATGTTTTATTACAGATCTGATTGGTTATATATGATAAAACTTTCCACAGCATCGGTCGAATGGTCCTCACCAAGAAGCCGTACGTCTTCGATCCGCTGGGTGATGAAGATCGGCAGATTATCACCACTGAATACAAGCACAGCGAGGGCACAGCATCAGAGAGGCTGGCTCTGATGAATGGAGTGCGCTACTCTGAGAGAGCGAAGAGGTAACCCTCCTTATTCATTCTCAAATTGTTTACAAAGCGTTGGTTTTTTTATTATTTTATGAAAATAACCAATCCTCCGCAATTTGGTATGAGGTCCCAATATCCTCTGCTCAACTTTTTTTAGATGACTCCGTGGCGCAGTTGCCAAGGTATTGGCTTCGGCGTCGGGGGTCGTGGGTTCGATTCCCACACGGGACAACTATTTGTGCGACCCACAGATAGTTGTTTCGCGTCTGGGTGTTTTTCCGCGTGTAATTTATGTTTATAAAAACGTCCTTACAACACAGGATAATGTTATCCTAAAGTAAGGGCAATGTTTTTTTTTAAATAGAAAATAGAAATAGAAAAATAGAAATAGCTTTTGCCCAGCTGTGGGATGTCCCACATGTGTGTAAGCTGTTACTTTTGAACTGCGCACAATTGGTTTGGATTAAATGAAGTTTATATATGACGTTACAAAACAGGAAAAAGTATTGGATAAAGAATAAATAATATCGTATAATTACATATCTGCGAATAAATAACGGTTTCAATAACAACAGTTAAATAAAAAACATTGCGGTTTCGCCAAGAAAGACTACACATATAACTGTCAACAACTTAGACATATAACCATATACGTAATACCCAATGTTACACAAATACTTTATTTTTGTGCATAAACATAAAAACACATGCTATAGTCCGCTATGGGTCTCAAACAGAGGTGTATGTATGGATTACGTGTGTAGGTAAAAAGTGACTTCACAAATAAAATTGCGAAACAATTTAGAAATTCAGTCACTATAGACAAAGGGGACAGTATAGGCGTAAGCCATGTTTAATTCCTATCGAAACTTCTAGACAATGTTCTGAATACGAAATCAGGTACTACGCGGTCGCAGCCAACCTCAGCAGCGATATCTCGTTCAAACTACGCGACATCGACACGGTGCACATCGGACAGGACTTCAGGGTCACCGTTGACATCGAGAACAAATCAAATGAGGTGAGAAACATTGAGATTAAGCGAGATAATATTTCAAAAACAACAATGCCGAATTAAACTCTTCGGCGTTACACAATAATCTTGTATGATGTCCTAACGTGTCATCAAACCATGAAATTTCCAATCCATTTAGGTCCGAAATACTCAAGTCATATTACAAGAAGTAATACAAAGAATAATAATTTTAATACACGCGATAATGAAGTGAATGACTGATCCATTGTCTTTATGATGTGAGTGGAATCATCGAAACAGAGTAACCACCCTTATATATGATGTGCTAAATAAAAGAATATAGCTGTATGCACAAGAATTCAATTCAATATCGACACGGAATGCTTGTCATTAAGCTGATGTATTTACATTGATCAGATGTATGCTGTTTTATTAATCTGATGTTATATGTTCCTAAATTCAGGGTCGCAACATAAAGGCAGCTTTGTCAGCTACGAGCGTCTTCTACAACGGCGTAAAATCCGAAGTCGTGAAGAAGGTTGAGGGAAAACTGTTCGTCGGCCCTGGCAAACGTAAGACTGGATTGTTCTCGATATGTTTACGTAATATTTTAGTTTATAATATCGTAAATTTTGTATTTTTTTACTTTCGTCTTATTCAAGTCACAAGTAACACTTGAATAAGACGTAAGTAAAAAAATATTACAAACTTTTCATACCAAACGCTTGCCAGTTAAAAGCTTTCCCGCAAATCTATATACAACTCATTGCGAAAGACGTGAGGAAAGAAAAATTAAAATCATTTAATCACAGCACAATGCGAAGAAAGATGCGCTTATAAATAAAATAGAAGGAAAATCACAAAGTAAACTTAATTTAACATAAAAAAGGAATACTTTTCACTATTACACTTCCGCCTAGAGTAGATATATTACTAAAGAAAATCGCATTGACATTGACTTGAAAGTATAACATGAATAATTTACGTTAATGCTAGTGCTTTTCTAAGGGACTTTAACAGAGGACGTTTAGCGGCTGATGATGATGATGATGAATGGTACCAAAAAGCACCATCATGAAGTTGGTTGCGATAAAGGACTTAACATGAATCAAGGCATTACCATGGGAACCAATAACAACTTTTGACATTTACCAATAATTGCGAGTTATTTACATAAACCGTTATCAATAGCATTTAATATCTTTACGCTAAAGAAGTGTAACTTCTTACTGAAAGAAGTGTAACTTTTTTCATTTACATTATATATTATTTATTACATATTATATTATATATTATATTATACTATATATTATATCATTACTTTTTTATACATATCATTGTAAATTATAATAGGTGAGCAGGTGAGCATACCAGTTAAAGCGGAGGACTACATGCCGAAGCTTGTCGAATACTGCAACATGAAGATATCGGCGATGGCAATAGTCGACGAGACCAAGCAGTCCTGGGCCGATGACGACGACTTCCAAGTGCTGAAGCCCAACATCACTATCAAGGTGAGCCAAACACACGACCAGTACCACGACCTTACGGAAGACAGCGTGAAGGGGAAGTGTATACTTCGGCGCTTCTGGTGAGTGAGGTAGCCGGTGCCCACTTTATTAAAAGGTGGCAACGCATCTGCAACCCTACGGGTGTTGCAAATGTCTATGGGCCCTTCTCACATAAAAAATCACAACCTATTCAGCCACCGGTAACCCAGTTGTGATTTCTCCGATGTTTGAATCGTAAGACATCTTTTTTTCACCTTTGTTAAAAACCAACACAACGGGAGTCGCAAACGTCCTTTGGCAAAAAAAATCAAAACACAAAATCATTTATTCATCGACATAAGAAAAATACATGCATTTATCGATAGTAATTTTTTTTGTAATCCACCACCGCTTCGTAATCAGGTTCCTCTAACGGACGGCGAATGGCGGCGGTTATCAATTAACATCAGATGAACCGCCAGCTCGATTCACATAACAAACAATTGATCCTCCAGGTCGCGTACGTTGGGACTTACTACCCAACCCCTTCTACACGAAATACAAATCCACGAGCGGCGCACTTAGCACCAGCACAACCGCCTGCTCGATTTTTTTTAATCGCAAAAGTAGGCAAACGTTCATGCGGGTCACCTGATGATAAGCGATCACCGCCGCTCATGGGCATTTGGTACATCAGTTGAGTCGCAATTGCGTTGCCGGCCTTTAAGTTAGGAGTAGGCTCTCTTCTTGAAGGTCCCTAAGTCGTATCGGTCTGGAAATACCGCTGGCGACAACGCGTTCCATAGAGTAGTTGTGCGGGGTGGGAAAATTGCGTGAAAAACGCAGTGGTTCGACCGCCAACCATCAAGGTGGTGTCGTTAGTACTTGGCGATGGTTTGACAAGTTGCCAACCTTTTCAACCTCATCCTCCACCAGTTCAACGAGGACCTGATACTGGGGGAGCCGGCTACCGCGCACCTGTCCTTCGTGAACCCTCTCGGGCGCGCTCTTACCGGCTGCGAGTTCCGCGTGACGTCATCGGGCATGGTGGGACGCTCGCTGCGGCTCGCGGCGCCGGACGCAGCGCCCCACGCCCTCGTCAGCGCGGAACTGCCCGTCCAGCCCAAGGTGCGAATCTCGGATGTCCTTCCAGAATTATACCCAGTGATGGATTTGATCCGTTGGTCTCCCTAGGCCTATACAAGGCTGCCCCCCCCCCCCCCACCTCCTTGATAAAACACGCAGGTATGCGTGACTCTTCTCGCAAGGGTTAACCAGTACTTTAACCACTCTACGAGCTCGATGTTTGATGATGTTCCAGTGCAAGACTAGAAGCAACACATCATCCATAGACGATTTGTTGCTTCTATGACGATGCTTCTGATTGATTGAGTTATAAGATTCTGTTTCCATATAATATAGATATTAACATTTCCGTTTTTGGAAAAAACGGACTAACTTGACACATAATTTGATCCGAAACAAATATCGTTGGTTGATTTATTTGTTAGGAATCAAATGTTACAATATACAAATCAATAACGTTACATTCCTTAAAAGGAATTACAGATTATTTCTTGATAATTTTATCTGTTGCCAGAATCTCGTACATTGACGTACTTCTTTAAACATATTGCATACGTACTTCAGTAAACATATAGAAATCTGATTTCTATATGTAAATATAAGAGATGGAAACATCAAATATATTATAGGTAGTGTACTACAAAACTGATTTCTATGATTTTATCAAGCCAACTAAACTTAACCTTAATTCAATGCACTATAATGTCGTAATTTCCGGTATAATAGAACTTTTCTTGTACACTTGTGTTTAAGCTCAAACTATGCTGCTTTACTTTATGGATGTTTTTTTATTTAACCTTCACAGAAACTGGGCACAATTAACTTTGTCGCGACCTTCAAGTCGGCGGAGCTCAAGGACATAAACGGCGCAAGCAGCGTCGAGGTGCTCGAGGGATAATGAACTCTTTTACCAACGCAATAAGACTGCAAAATGCATGACAAAAGCCGAGTATTCACTAGGGGACAAATGTCCCGACACGTGTTGCCAGACATCTTGTCTCGAGAACTTTTTCGTTCCAAATGCAAGCGACATGAATGTATCGATCAAAATTCAAATAAATTTGTAAAGGGACGTTTGTACCGTATCGAATGGGCTTTATTAATTTTACACAAATAATATATTATGCCATACTTTTATTTTTCCGAGAATATATTTTTGTTTGTATCTAGTTTTCATATTTAAGTTAACATTGTTTAGAATAGGAATTCAGAGATAAATTTGTAACTGTTTGATTTTATTGTTTAAAAAAAAATTACGCTATGCTATATAATATTTTTCGCCATTAAATGGCAAATGTCTTAAACATAATGGTAGCTTTTACGATGAAAGTCGATTTCGTCGATAGTTAAGTTTATACTTCAGTCATGTAAGTTAAAATAAATTTTATTATGTATGTAAGCAATAAATATTTTTTAATAACGAAAGCGCTTTAATGGAAATTTCTACAATGCTATTTGATATTCGTAATAACAAGCACAATTTTTTTTTATACCTATGAGTATTTATGCCATTTTATTTACTTTTTCATGTGTTCACAATAGGAAAGAAAAAATTTTGTGACAAAATAAATAAACGGCTTTCAAAATGTAGGGTGAACACAATTCCAATTATAAGCCATCGGTTAATGCAGAAAAATAAAACACCGTTTTAAAAAAAAAACAAAAAATATATTTCCATGCAACAGATACTTTTTACACATTTTCACGCAGCATCCGAATGTACTTAATATAGCTCTAACACAAGCCAAGTAAACGTGCATTGTAAAACGAAAAATACTGACCATGTTAACTGTTCGATCTTAATCATTTGATTCCAAATTAATTAAAAAACAATATATAGAACCTACTGCCACCGTTAAAATGCCAATAACCATTTACTTTATAAAATCAAAAATTTAAATTAACAATCATGATCGCGATAGTACAACTATAATTGATCGGTAAGTATTAATACTCTTACTTATTTAGCTGTACTGTATTATGCTATATTACTTTACGGGCTTTAAAAATCTTCAACAACTTTAACAGACGTATAATTTACATTGTGGTTGTAATGTACTATATAAAATGTTCATTTGGGCGACTAAATAACGGTTTAATGTATTGCAAATATTATTACATTAAAAATGGATTGAAGAAAATAGAATCCATTACTATCTCACTGTTAGAAATGTACATATTTGGGTGTGATAATAAAGAAGAGAAAATCCCAAAACCACAAAGATGAATATAGAAAATTCTTTAACGCGGTAAAAGTTGAAATTAAGAAAAAAAACTTATTCGTTACGAATATTTGAGACAACAAAGCCGACCTATCGTCATACCAACAGAAGCAAATAAAAGTTATCGTTGGATCTCATAAACAACTTTTACGACCGGTTACCATTATAGACAAGATCTAAGGTAAAAGATCAATGATAGCAAAATTCTGGTAGAATCAAGAAAATCAAATCAAATTAACTCTTGCAAAGTCAAAAGGGATATCTAATTGCGATTAACTTAAAGTCACTTATGTACGGAATATTATACAGTATGAAGGAACTTGCGAGCTAGGACGGCGAAAACAAACGTCTTAAACTAGAACAAACGCACGCACACAATTTAGAACCTTATTACTTAAGCTCCAAAGAGCAAAACGGCTTGGATCCGACACGAAGCATAAACACAACCCGCTTCCGCTTTTAAACGCTAATAAATTATTATTACTTCAATCTATCCCATAGTTCGTTTGACTTAAGACTAATAACATAATTATATATTAAAAATAATCTGCGTACTCTATGACTCGGATAATTGAGTTCGTATTTTCTTCTTCTTTGATACGAAAGCAAATAAATTCATCACTAATGTACAGTCTACCCGATAAAAAGTTGCATCATTTAAGTAAGAAATGGGGCTGTTGAATTAAAGTACTGTAATGTAACCATATTACAAGGGCATTAATAAAATGTTCTCGAGGGTGTAAATTATTTAAAAACTAAAAAACTCCAGAAGGCTTAAAATTGAATAGCACGTTAAAAAAATATTAGTCTATATAATGTTCAACGTTTATGCGGGCGACTGTACAATAACGCGATAGTAACCGGAACAAAAATAAATAACAATAATTGTTCGAATCTTAATGTAAAGTTAACTGTGTGCGAAAATTAACTGCATAAGTAGTAACTGTTCATAATGATGTACTTAATGTTGACAAAATTATCCCTAAGATCGCGCTAATAAAATAAATGCAATAGTCCTGATTGTCTGTTCCCATTTAACGCCGCTAAGGCTGAACGGATTTGAATGAAATTTCGAAAGTGACTGCTTATACGTTGAACTAACGCAAGGACGATTTATTTGGTCAACATTTAATACTCATTTCATAAGGAATGACACGGGTCAAGCCGTGATATAAAGCTAGGCAGGGAGTGTCAGAAATTATTACGTCACGCCGAATTTTGTAGCCTTGCAATATGATATACTCACACTTGAATCGATTGTTCACCCGTTGAGGTAAAATGCACTCTTTTGCTCGACGATACAGACCAAAATCGAACACAATGTGGTAAGAATCAACATTACTCCCTCCCGAAAAACTGATCCCATTGTCTTTTAATTGTAGATTTACACGATCTCAGCATACAACACGTTAAAACTTACAGACTCGAGTTTAAAAAACACAACCGTTCGACCTAAAAACATTGTCGATCTTATTGCCAAGGGATAAGATTCAAATTCGCACACAGTCGACTTATAAGACGGGGCTAACGCACTTTGGCTTTGCCGGCGACGAGCTTGGCGTACTCCTCGTAGAAGAGCGGGAACAGCTGGATCGCGAAGTAGACCACGGTCAGGTAGGCCACTATCGCCAGGGTCAGGACGAGGTCGAACACGGCCGGCTTCACGCTGAAACCAAGTCAACGCCAACGTTGCACAACAGCGCGATTTTTAAGGCATCTATTGCCTCGCACAACCAGTCTGTGGAACCAGCTGCCGCCGGCGGTCTTTCCGAACCGTCACGACCTGGGAACCTTCAAAAAGAGAGCGTACTCTTTCTTAAAAGGCCGGCAACGCATTTGTGAGCCCTCGGTTGTTGCAGGTGTTCATGGGCGGCGGTGATCACTTACCATCAGGTGAGCCTCCTGCTCGTTTGCCCCTTTTCTCCATAAAAAAAAAACTGGCCGATACCTTCTATATCAGGATTTCCCAAAGGAAGAATCTAGAAGGTCGATGAAGGCTGTCGATGGACCGTCGAAATCGATATCTCAGGGGACGACATGAACGACAACTTATTTCGGCGGTCGACCTTTTTTTTTGTGTGTGAGTGATAACCGCCGCCCATGGACGTTTGCCACACCCGTAGGGTTGCAGATGCATTGCCGCCTTTTAATAAAGTGGGCCCCGGCTACCTCACTCACCAGAAAAAACCCAGAAGTATAACACTCTGTGAGGTCGTGGTACTTCCCCGGACGGACTTGCCCGTTCGTGCAACAGCCTAACCTGTTGCGTGGCTGTACCACAGTTGACGTCACACTTTGAGTGCAAGTTTCTCAACGGTTTTGACGATTCCATAGTGGCACTAACCCGTACGTCTCGTCTATCAATACCCCTCCCTACCCCGTTCGAATTCACAACAGCCGCTATTTCTTCTTTAATAACTTTTTGAGTCTGGCCGGATAGCGTTGTGTGATATAAAGTTGTCCTAAAAAATCTATCTAATATTTCATATTTTGTAACATATTAGCGGCACCGTTGCTAAGCTATTGGCTTCGTCGTCGGGGGTCGTGGGTTCGATTCTCACATGGGACAACTATTTGTGTGGCCCACAGATAACTGTTCCGGATCTGGGTGTCTGTATCCAAAGGGGGGTTGACGTCAGGCAGGCGGCCCGTCGAAAAAATCATAGCCAAAGACACGATTCCCGGATTATTCCTGTCGGATAAACGTAGGAGGACGATGATATTTCAAATTCTGTAAGCCCCACCTGTACACGAATAGCTGGGCAGATGTCGGAGAGTAGAGGGTGAACTCTGGCTCCCGTTTGTCCAAAACGTGAGCTCCGACAGTCACCTCCATGTAACGGGACAGCGCCTTCTCCAGCGCAGCGGTCACTCCTGCGGACAATTGGGACATGTTCATCAAAGCTGCTGACGTCACAGCTGACAACTGTTTAAGTTGGGGGAGATTGGGGGTGGGGGGCTCTCCACGCACAATTTAATTAGCAAATAATTTACACCACACGCAACCGAAAATCACTTTTAGTTGGGACAGAGAGTTAGATGCGATACTGTATAGATAATGTCAAAGCTGTTAACGTCACAACTAACAATATTTTAACACGGAACAAGGACTTCAAGACCTGGATTTAGTTCCAAGGAGAACCTAGGCAATACTATTAACAAAACGATACCAATAATGTGTTGAAGCAGACTTTTTTATAACTACCCACCTGTATTAGGCGAGGTGGTCGTGATGACTTGAGGAGCTCGAGACTGCGACGCTAGATACTCGTACCATTGCTTGATGGACGCCTCGTCCACGCCCTGGAAGCATTGATGGCATTTCTGTAATTACGCCATTGAGAACCAATCCGATTGGCAGGGCGGATAGTGAATTTGTCGCTTGCCCCGATGGGTGTAGGTAGGATACCGCTGCTGGTGAAATATCGTGCCAGCATACTGTTTTTCCGTCTGCTCTTAAAATTTCCTTATTGATATTTATTTTTGGCGATCGTCTCTGCACTCAGGATGAAATGATGTGTGGTTTTTTTACAAAAACGAACAATAGCTTTCGATGTTGCGGGGATCGAACCAGCATCTTAACGCTCCCAAATGACCAACTGTACTATTGAAGCTAAGCGGCCGATGACCTGACGCTCGCGTCCACCATCATCTCTACATAGTATAAAACAAAGTCGTCCCGCTGTCTGTCTGTCCCTATATGTGCTTAGATCTTTAAAACTACGCAACGGATTTTGATGTGGTTTTCTTTAATAGTTAGTCCGCCAATCCGCAGTGGGGCCGAATGCCGCGGAATATGCCCTAATACCCTCTGTACAGAGGAGGCCTTTGCTCAGTAGTGGGACATGTATAGGCTGATACTTTTTTTTTTTCAGAGCCATTATAATATAGATAAATTTACAATATAGTAAAGAAACATTAATGCTATGTCGAAAACAAACATTCAGCATTGCACCCGTGCGGAACCGGGGCAGGTCGCTACTCTTGAATAAAGAAAACACAGAATCACGACTACGGTAAGAGTCACAGCTCACCAGAACTTCGTCGTAGAGGGCGGCGTCGTCTTCGTTCGTCTCTTCGGTGATGTTGTATATGTGGGAGGCGAGGGCGCGCGCGATCAACGCGATGTTCTCGGTGAGGGACCTAAGTGAGGTATCCGACGCGGTGTCCAGGATGCTGTTCCTCGCCGGCTCCTTGTGGCTCTGCGGGCGGCACGAGCGGCCGTTAATTACGAGGGCGAACGACAGTTGCGACAGCCCTAATGAGATAGACAAGGATGGGGATATACACGTTTTTATTTCAAGATAAGGTCGCGCGCGGAAGGAACATGTAGTGAGATTCATATACGTTTCACTTTCAATACAAATTCCGAATTGAAAACCATATTCGTAGCGTTTCACAAAGGAACTTCTAGTGTTGCACGAATAGGCTCAGGGAATACATGCACCTTCACGTAAGACCAGAGTCAAGTGGAAGTGGAACACGCCTTTCGTCTGATGATTCAGGCGAACCCATTGAAATATGTCCAATGGCGGCGGCAACTTAACATCCACTCGCCACATAAGAAGTAGTTTGCTAAAAGCCTCATAAAAAATATTAATAACAATAAAAAATATATATAAATGATTGTTATACAATAAGTTCCAACTATCGAAAACCAAAGGGAATGCGTAACGCCACCGCGTACGACCACGACGGCCAAGGTAGCTAGCACTGCTGAAAGCCACATAAAAGAAACGAGTCAATTTTTTTTATTCACGAAAATTCAAAACCTACTTCAAATGTCTCGCTCTGTTTTCATTTTGTAGTTGATTTTCTTTTTTGATTCGTTGAATGTAAGTATCTCCGGAGCCCAAGATCCAATACCAATGAAATTGATGAATGAATGAATGAATACTTATTTCATTGTAGTCTGAATAGATTTAAAGAGCTAACAAAACTATATAGGTATTAGTTATTTGAAAATATTTATAATATTTTTAACTTATACTCGTATCACTAAAACACCCACATTGTTATTTCATATGTGGTCAATTCTATGTACACCGTTATTTTCTTATTCTTGAGTTGAAATGAGCTATGTAAATGTCCAATACATATGATGTGGTTGTACTTTAAATAAATAAATACACAATATTAACAATAGACAAACAAACAAATAGAATGCACAATTTGGCGGCGTTATCGTTTCATAGCGATCTCTTCCAGGCAACCAATGGCGTAAAGGCACTTGCGTAGGTGGTGCAACTCACCTGCAGCGAGCTGACCGTGAAGGCGGTCATCCGTCTGATGCTGAAGCGCTCGTGCTGCCAGGCGAGCAGCTCGTCGGCCAGGTTGATCTTCTTGTGCACCAGCGGGGCGCCCAAACGGGCTCGCAGTGAGGCCGCCGCCCCGCCGGGCCGGGGCGGCTTCGACACGTGCACGCGGCAGGGGGCCGGCCGCCACCGAGTCCAGGCACATGGCGAAGGACACGTCCTGAATGGGGGAGAGGGGGGGGGTTACGGTAACACCCTACTAGCGACTACAAGCGACCGAGGGGATCGGCTGTCACATGGCGAATGGCACAGCCTGAGCAGGGGGAGGGGGGGCGTCACGGTGAGACGCACTAAACGACCGAGGGGATCGGCGGGTTAGTGGCGAATGGCACAACCTGGACAGGGGGAGGGGGGGGGGGGGGCGTCACGGTGAGACGCGCTAAACGACCGACGGCATCGGCGGGTTAGTGGCGAATGGCACAACCTGAACAGGGGGAGGGGGGGCGTCACGGTGAGACGCGCTAAACGACCGAGGGCATCGGCGAGTAAGTGGCGAATGGCACAACCTGAACAGGGGGAGGGGGGGGGGGGGGGGGGGGGCGTCACGGTGAGACGCGCTAAACGACCGACGGCATCGGCGGGTAAGTGGTAAAAAAAGTGGAGGGGGGGGGGGGCGTCACGGTCTCGAAAGCGCTAAACAACCGAGGTAATTGGTACGCACATGGCGCTTGATACGCCCTGGAGGCATGGAGATAGGACTTTCACTTCCAAAGATGGCAAAGCATCTGGAACCTACTCCATGCGTTGTCATGGATGGTAATCCATAGGGGGTGGTTATCACTCATCAGCGAGTCGACGATCGCTTGTCGCCTTCTCACACGTTATTTGGACGTAAATTGGAATTGTAAATTTGTTTGGAAGTGTTTGTGTAATGTCTTTTTTACTTTTTTACAACGAGGAGACAACATTTTAACATATGAGGTGTCACGATATTCATCTCAGTTGTGAGAGTGACATAAAAAAAAAGTAAAGTAAAAAAAAAACGTGAAGAACGAAAAAGTGTTAAAGGACATTAACGATAATATTATTCATTAGCTTCTTTGGTTTTTGTGAATAATCTAAAAAAAAGGTTTGTAAAGAAGTTAATTAATATTAAATATTTGACGAGGCAAGAATTTCTATGATTTTAATAAAAAAAAGGAGCAATACATGTCCCACTGCTGGGCAAAGGTCTCTGTACAGAGGGTATCAGGGCATAGTCCACCACGCGGCCCCACTGCGGATTGGCGGACTTCACATATCTTCGAAATATTTTTTTTTGTTATTATTTCGAAAATATGCAGGTTTCCTCACGATGTTTTCCTTCACCGCGGAGCACGTGATAAGTCAGCACTTAAAGTTAAAAACTTCATTGGTGCCGGCACCGGGGATCGAACTCAGGTTGCTCGAGTATATTGAATTAAAGGGGAGCGCCCGGACACTGAGCTATCACGGCTCACTAGCTATCACGGCTCACTGAGAGTGACATGGGGTATATTATTTCAATATGATCCCCGCGAAAAACAAATAGAGAAATCGATGTATTTATAATGCAAGAGGGATTCTTTTATTTTATTTGTTAACTTAAGTGCTGACATATCACGTGCTCAGCGGTGAAGGAAAACGAAGAAACTTGCATATTTTTGTAATAATAACTAAAAAATAATATTTCGAAGATTATGTGAAGTCCGAATCCACAGGGGGGCCGCGTGGAGGACTATGCTCCGATACCCTCTGTATAGAGACGGCCTTTGTCCAGCAGTGGGACATGTATAAGCTGTTACAGTACTTTACTTTAATAACTAATGCATGTTAATGAAAATACTTCTTTTTGACTCGTTAGTACTCTTTGTTATCTGTAATTCTACTCCTGGCTACCTGCAGCAAGGACGCATCGGTGGAGTCCAGCTGCTCTTCCAGCCACTTCTTCGTGGCGAAGTAGTTCAGCGAGTGGCCGACGGACGCGAGAACGAACACCAAGGAAGCGTCGCCGCGAACAGCGGAGCTGGAGTAGAGGCGCGAGAAGATTCTAGCGAGTTCTAGAACGGCGACGGCGCCCGAAGCGTTCGAGTCGGCGCCGCGGGAGAGCTCCTGTCAAACGAACCTTATTCAGTTGAAGAACTAAACGGTCCGCGGATTATTGAAAAAATGGCATTAAACTATTGGTGGATAGTCTGAATGGTGAAATCCCAAGACATTAAACTAATTAATAATTATGAGCAACCATGACAGTTTTTCTTACGCAAGATTGCAATGCAAGATTTTCACTACCAAACAGTTACTATACAATACATATATTTTATAGCATAAATATATGCTTAATATATGTTTTTGGAACATCTGTACAAGAAAATTTCACTAACACGATAAACATAAGAATTAAGATCATAATTATGCATAAATCAAAATAACATGAAAACAAAGTTAGCTTATCCAGTGGTATTAAAATAGCTCTGTGTTTAAACCACATATATAATATCATTCTACATTTTATTATAGACTATTCAAGCAAGCAAAAATTAGGCTTTGCCATATGGCAGTTCCAGTAGGTATATACCTACAGGAACAAGTCCAGCGGAGTCGTAGTGGGCAGCAATGACGATGGTCTGAGCTGAACCTAAGCGGCCCACCAGCTTCCCATGAATTGTCACTGGTCTGGAGTCCATTTTCTGCGGTGCGGATGCTGACACAACTGTAACAAAGGACAGATATCGTTAAACAAGTACTAGTTGACCTAATCGAAATTTTCGCACAATCAGTCAATGAATAGTTATATAATAATGTAAATAAGTATTTAGAGAGAAGAAGAATAACCGTAAAATTAAATCTACATCACTATCTTTCATTTAAACCAATTGTCAATAAGATGGCTTTATCATCATTCTTTAAAAGAAGTTTTTTTCATGAAAACATTAACTTTATTCTATTTGTCTGCTTTTAATTAATAGCGGCGAACATAAGCTTTGAAGAATTTGATAATGAATTATGGAAGTTAATGCTGGTACCAGCACTAAAGAAACCATCAATTTTAAGCGCTGTAATATCACACGCTCAGATGTGAAGGAAAACATAGCAAGAAACAAGCAAATTTTCGAAATATACAGGTTTTGCGATGTTTTCCTTCATCTGTTCTATAATAATAACAATAAAGAAGGACTATGCCCTAATATACTCTGTACAGAGGGTATTAGGGCTTTGTCTTTTAACCAGCAGTGGACTTGTATAGGCTGTTACTACTACGTAAAATGCTACTATCAAGTTGTCTTTTTCTATAACAAGATAGTTTGTAGTTTAGAAGTTATACTGAAAAAATCTTTATCAAAATAAAACAATTTTGTTAATGGAGAAAGTAGGGTCATTATAAAGTTAGCCATTGACACATTAAGCTTGTTGGCTACTTAACTCATTGTATAAAGCGCGATTTTGCAATACTTCTCACAGAAAATTTCAATGATAATTTAACAATTAATTATGATTTTTTTATATAATTATTATTTTTTAAAATAATTAGATAAATTATATGACATACCAATTTGGTAGCCATTTGAAGAGACTGTTTTAAACATGGCCTCTAATGCAGTGCCCGATTTGTCGTCCATTATGAAGCTATGCTGTAAGTCGCCAAGTATGTTCTCAAACTCTGGTGACCATTTCGCAAAGTACACAGGTGCATTGATTTCTTGTTGGATCATTGCCATTTCCAGAAGCTGAATGTGCTGAAATATGAAAGAAAAGTTGTTTTTTTTTAATGTAGGTACAATAAATTAAACAATACATTTTTTACAGGTACAATAAATGAGAATTCATATGTTTGCTTCTATTTCACGCTGCACAATAACTGAATATGATAATGAAATGAAATTTGGAATAGCAGGATACTAGGTTCACAAGGGTGATACTTTTATCACATAAAAACAACACCTTCATGGATAACTGGATCACATTGTATCAAATTAAAAGATAAAAGTTATGACTTCTATCATGTACTTGCTTCAAACAAATTATGTATTGCACATAATTATATCAATCATTTTATTGCTATGATTTTTGACTAACCTCTTTTTCTTCAGTGGTCAGGGTAGTGATATTCTTTGGCATCACAAGCAGTAATGCCCCAGCTTTACTCCGCACCTCCATAAACTGTTCAATACTTATGTCTTGGACCCGTGCCACAACACAGTGCCGGGAAGTGCTCCAGGATGTGAGAGATCGTCCCTCCAGATTGAAACCAGCACTGCGACATCCTTTAAGTGTTGGCCATGTTTAGTTTCTCAAAAGTTATTATGGGCTTCACAAACATCACAGCTAATATAAATGAACATTATATTTAAGCCTACATTAACTAAATAAAAACCTAACTTAAAATTGATTTTACATTGAAGATGTTTTTTTTATAAGATCTTATATTGAAGCATCTGAGTATCAGAAGTGAAATGCACCAGTAACTAAATTCCTTTGGTCATCAAGGTAATCACCACTGATCATATGGCTTCCTAAGCAGATTTTGTTGCAGCTCTGTTGTCCTTGTAACCTAACAACATGGACTACCTAGAGATAGCAATGGCTACTGTACACTGATATACCATTGTGCTTATTCAAACCCTAGAGTGGTTGCAGTCAACTATTACCATAAAAGAAGTACATTATAACATGACATAAAGACTTGCATATAAGAATTACAAATACAATAATATTAAAGAGGAAGGAAACTTCACAGTCAACTATTCATTGTTTTTATGCTTGGAAAAATAAGTTTCAAATTATATTACTTTCATAGGATTGCAATTATGTACTATCTAAGTGAGCTGTCGATAATATTTTACTGTACTTATCAAGATAAAACTTCCCATAAATTTGTGAATATCATTTTTCTTAAAGTAGTTCTTACACAAACAAGCAAGTGTGGCGATTGTTTATACGATTCTCTTAATATATCCCTATTAACATTTCTTATTTAAAGAAATTAATGAGATATTTAAAATATGATATTGTCATAAAAAATTCTGATTCACCAATACAGACCACCATTTCTTGTACGCGAAAAATATATAAAAATCTTTACATTGGTTTAATTATAAGATCGATATTGAGATTAAAAATATAACCTTAAAATAGGAGCGATATATTTATGGCAAATTATAAATTAGAATGAAAGGTAATCAATACACTTACCATGGGGTACGTTATGAAGGTCGTACTGTTGCATTCTGTACACGGAGAACTCATGAGAAGCTGCTACAGGATTTACAGGAGACATGATAATAAATATAGGAAGAGCAACAAGCAAATAGTAAGGTAAATAGCCCTTAAATATTTCAGCAAAACCATCCGCTTCGTCCAGCCACATTGTATGAACTAATTTGTGGAGTGTTCTAATAGAATATACTTAAATAATATATAATTTTATTAATATAATCCAATTATAAACTCTACGTGTGATAAAACAGGTCAATGACATTAACGTGACTTGACAGAGCTAAAATAATTGTCTATGCCTTTACTTTCAGGTTTCAGCTTCGTTCTTTAATTAACTTAAATATAATTTCAAAATTGTTTTAATATCATTAAACAGTTATAATACGATCAAATTTGCAATTAAGTAAAAGGATAAGATAAGTTTTATTAAATTTCGCATTATAATTATGTCTGCTTGTAATAAATATCATTTTAAGAAACCTTTTTTGGCGGTTATATTTAAAATTGTTTTAATAAGAAATATAAGGTACATTAGTTTCAGTTTTACGGTGGTAGAGCCTCGCAGCAGCCTCGGCTGTTGCACGAATGGGCAGGCTCGTCCGGGTAAGTACCACGACCTCACAGAAGATCGGCGTAAAGTGGAAGTATGACAAATACTTTCGCGTTTCGTCTGGTGAGTGAGGTAGCCGGAGCCCAATTTCCAAAAAGGTTGTCAACGCATTTGCAAACCCTCTGGTGTAGCAGATGTCTATGGGCGGCGGTATTCAACAGGTAACATCAGGTGAACCGTCTGCTCGTTTGGCAACTTTTCACATAAAAAAAAAAAAAAAAAAGTAATAACTGATGAAGTATAATGATATTTGTCGAAAAAAAAACGATCAATGCACTGTGTTTTTTTATTCTTTGAAAATTACACATTATTTTCAAAGATTTTTTTTTGTTTTTGCTTATCAAATTTGTGGTGTAGAAGACTTGCGCAGCTCCAGCGGTCTGCGTTGAATTCGTCTTCACTTCGCGAATTGGTGAAAAATGAAGTGAAAAAACCAGGGCCACACTGATAACTACTCGGGTAGGGCCACGCAGCAGCCTCGGCTGTTGCACGAATGGGCAGGCTCGTCCGGGTAAGTATCACGACCTCACAGAAGACCAGCGTGAAGTGGAAATTAATAAATACTTTCGCGTTTCGTCTGGTGAGGAGCCGGAGCCCAATTTCCAAAAGGTTATCAACACATCTGCAACCCTTAGGTGTAGCAGATGTCCATGGGGAGCGGTATTCACTGAACATCAGGTGAACCACTTGCTCGCTTGGCAACTTTTCACATAAAAAAAAAACTTAGAGTTCTTTTCAAAACTGTTCTATTCTTTTTTTTTTTTAATACAGAACGTCACTATACGCCAAAAAGTTATAATATGTTTTAAGAAAAAATTTCACTCCAAAGCAGATAATTTTCAATCGACTTCAAAAAAAGTAGGAGCTTCTCAATTCGTCTGTTTTTTTATGTTTGTTACCTCAGAATTTTACGATATTTATGAACTCATTTTAAAATTTCTTTTTTTATTAGGTTTGTTTTAGCTCCCATTGGTATTCCAGAAATTCTCCGGAGTGCGTACCGTTAACACTTAAGTTTACTAAGATGCAGATGAAGATAATTGTTCCAAAATACTTTTTGGTATTAAAGCGTCTAGAACGTTTTCTGTACCACTAAAGAGCAGAATATTAGCTGTTCAAATAAATTAAAATGTTAAGAAAGATTCGGTTTTAATAGAATACTAAGCATGTTTCTTCCACTAAAAGTATATCTCCCTAATTCTGTAGATTACCATTTCAATATTTATTATCTCGATTTCAGACTCTTACTAAATACATGACATTTAACATAACTAAAAAAGTTTTGTCTCATTCCATCCAAGTTTTAGAATTCCATCTTAATACCTTTAAATACATGGGAACTGCAGTGACGACGAAGACGACGAAGGATTTTTCCTTTGAATCAGACGGACAGACCTCGCTGTGCACCCTTAGAACTTTGGACGAACGTTCTTTTTCTCGAACTTGGAAGGCAAATCTAGCTCGGTTTCTAAAAAGGTTCTGCATTGCATGAAAAACTTTTCTCTTCTCTAGGATTACTAAATCTCTAGAGTATACAAACCTCAACTCTTTTTATGTAACATTGTTCCTTTCGTCCCAGAACTAATGGAAGCCGGGAGAGCCCGTGCTAATAAGCAAATGCCTTCCGGTCTCAAGTGACTAACTAGGGTTTGGCTTTGCCGCTCACCGCGTTTCGGCTGCGAGGGCTAGGAAGAATAGCATAAGACAATTCTCTCATCCTCAACGCCACCTTTACTGCATTAGCGGTGCTATTCTCCCTGTTTTCTGGGGAATCACGGAGGATAGAGAGATAGAGAGAGAGAGAGCTAAAATCAATATAAACTAATCTTTTTCTGCGACTCTACATTGGTTGCAGAGTGCAGAAGAGTGGTTTTTCCTTCATCAATTTAAGCCCTTGTATGCTTTCGGCGCTCATCAAAAGTGAGCCAATAGTTCTTTCAAACATAGGTATGTGCCTTCTTGGCAGTAAATATTAATACATATTAAAAGACGTTCATTAAATTGGTATTTAATCAAGGTCTTTTCATTTTTAATTAAAAGTATTTCTGGAAATAAAAATAACGAAAATGTGGAACCACCCCATTACCAACTCGACATAGAAATGTCGACGCTAGCATCTGACAACCCTACATTAAAAGTTTGAAATTCTAAAAGTGAACAAGACTTGCAATAATGAATTGAGCTATCATAAGTCTCTAGTTGAGTAAAGCACCCTCATTAGTGGATTACTTTTTTTCTTTAAATTTAATTACTAGTAGGTAATAAAATTTTTAATATCATCAGATTTTAATGAAGTAAAGTATATCTTATATGTTCTCACACTTTCACTCTCGACAGTTGGTAGGCATTTTAAGTGATATTTCGAGGATCTACGAGTTTGATGCATTCATTAAAAATTTTAAAACAAAGTTCGCCAAGCATTTTTTGCGTCCCAACTTGGCTGTCTGCCATCCCCTTACGTAAGCGCCAGGTGCGGAAGCGATGACAGTATTATGAGAGCCGCTAAAATATTTTTTTCAAGCTTCGTCGAAGTAAGATGGAAAGCGATTTATGAACTTTACAGGTAAACGAGCCGACGTCCATCTTAGAGTATTAACGTTAGAGTAAGAATTATAGTCGTTTAACTATAGAATTTAGTTAAAATAATACGATCAGCATGATTTATCGTACTAAACGAGAACTGGGAATCCACGATCTAATAAAAATCTATTTGCATTAAGCATTACAAAACATTAGGTCTAATTATAGACAAAGTGACAAGGTAGCAAGAAGTTCACCTAATAGGAAGAGATACCCTTACCCCCAACATTTATACATTCTCAATACCATTGTAGTTGTAGATGCGCTATCGAAGTTTAAAATAGAAATAATCAGAGATGAGAAGGTTATTGTGGTACTTTTCACATCCAGTCGCACATTAATGTGACAATCGAAATGTCGAAGTTGTACAATGTCTCTTTAGTTTTATTAAATACAAATGTTTACAAACTCAATTATACTCCGTTGTATACAGTTTACCGTACAGTATACCGCTACCTTCACAACCTTGTTCTTAAATTACTGTTGTATCAGTAGGGTATCAGTAGTAATAATAAATATAATATTAGTACTAATAAATATAGTAATAATATTTAGGCCACATTTTTACACAACGTTATCTAGTCCGAAACTAAGCAACGCTTGTCCTATGGGTACTAGATAACTGATAAGCATACTTAGACATACTTTTCTTTTGTACATAAATACATATTATACATATATAAACCCAGACACTAGAAAAACACTATGTTCATCACACAATATTTTTCCAGTAGTTGGAATCGAATCCACATCCTCTGGCGCAGGAGGCAGGTACACTACTCACTACGCCATTCGGCTCGTCAAATCAGTGGGGCCATAGTTAGAAAAAAAATGATATCATTAAATATGCCAACTTTCGTTCCCTCTTTATTGCAAAGACATTACTGATTGGAATAAACTATGTTATGGGGATGGCTTACAATCTTACAAGTTGGATAACTAACTCATTGTGTACTTCTTACACAATCATGAGAGACATTTTATTCAAAGTCAAAGTCAAATATCTTTATTCAATATAGAAGCATACACTTACTTATTGATAGTCAAAAAACTCTACCACCGGTTCGAAAGGAAAGCCACTGACCTGAGAAGAACTGGCGTAAGAAACTCAGCAAATATATTGTATATAAAATGTGAATTACCTGTATCAATCAAACTGCGTCGTTTTATTGATTAAATAACTAATAGTTACATATATGTGAATTAAGTGTATCAATCAAACTGCGTCGTTTTATAACTTATCATGGTTATGAACACGAGTTTGTTGACGTGTCTGTATAAATGAAATTTACCAAACAAGTTATGAGACAGTTTGAGACCCTGCGGCTATTTTAGAAGCCTACATGCCCCGGTTATTTTATTACTGTGACGGGTTCGCTGTCTGTCCCGTTTTGGGTGCAATGAGCGCGATTAAATTAGTTCGGAGACAAATTTCAACGGTATTTCGTATACGAATTGAAGACATTTTTTGAACGTTTTATTCCATTGAGTTATAATATATAATTATGTGCCATTTTGTTCAATAACTTTTTTCTATATTATATGAAATCTTTGCATTTCAAAGTTATTGGCAACAAGTTATTGAACATAATCATGTTGCCGTAGAAATTTTGGGATGGATGATCAAAAAAGACGAGTTGGTTGGTAGCTTTGTAGCCAACTTCATCGTGTCGCTTTTTGGCAGTCGGTGCGCCCCGATCGTAAAAATTTTTCTCTCATAATTTTTCCAAAGGCGCCAAAAGAAGTATAACTACAAAAATGCTATATTCCTCAAGGATATTTTTTTTAATGCGAAAAGTTGTCAAACGAGTAGACGGTTCACCTGATGTTAAGTGAATACCGCCGCCCATGGACATCTGCCACACCCGAGGGTTACAGATGCGTTGACAACCTTTTGAAAATTGGGCTCCGGCTACCTCACTCACCAGACGAAACGCGAAAGTAATTGTCATACTTCCACTTTACGCTGGTTTTCTGTGAGGTCGTGGCACTTACCCGGACGGGCCTGCCCATTCGTGCAACAGCCGAGGCTGCTGCGTAGCCCTACCACCGTAATTTCGTTTTTATAAAACTTTACAATGTCGGTTCAGTATGTTAATGGATTCCTAATTACATTCATAAAGGTAGTGCACCTGCCTCCTGTGTCAAAGGGTGTGGGTTCGATCCCCATTACTGGAAAAATATTGTGTAGTGAAAATAGTGTTTTTCTAGTGTTTGGGTGCTTATATAATTATGTACAATATGTATTTATTTACAAAAGAAAAATTTAAGTATGTTTATCAGTTATCTAGTATCCATAGTACAGTTTTTTTAGTCAGTTTTCAGTTTTGCTTAGTTTGGGACTAGAGAATCCTTTTTTTATATTGTTACCCTTTACACCCATAGTTTATTAGTACTACAAAAATGTTGAATTTGCATCACTTACCATTTGATAATTACACCGACCATTGGAAAAGTAGCGGGTAAAAAAAAAGCATTTATCCGGCCGCTGTCTTACTAGTAACGTAATAAATTATTCTCCAACGAGAGACGTAGACAGCCTGTAGTCCCAGCGTCCAGTAATCAATCCTTAAACGGAACCGAGTGATGTGTCTGTGCGATTTTTATCTCGTTAATTCGAAGCAGTTGTCGTTTTTGGCGAACTCCAAAAGGGGGTTGGTGTGATATATTCGAACTGACATGCAATTTTCGACCGTATGCAGTAGTGGTATAACGTGCAGAATGGCAACTTAACGACCCCGTAGGACACGATCAAACAGGAACAAATCGACTCGGCCGGCTAGACGGGGGATCCACCCTGACATTCCACGTATACCTAATACTATCTTCGTAGCTACAGAAACGGATTAAAATTCGTCCCATGAGCTATTTTTTCCAATTTTTTTGTGCTGGCCACGATTGAGGATTACGTTACAATTATTTCTTTTACTTTTATTAACAATAAACTTTTGACTAACGAATAGATTAATTATTAAAGTCCATCTTAACATGAAACAGTTATACAATTATATAATTATGTAGACTTTCAGAAAGGTATAGGCCCCAAAGTGGAACGTATAGTTTTAAAATTTTGACAAAACTGCCCTTTGGTGTTGATTTGGAGTCTGCTAGATCACACGAATCATTGTATTAAAACATTTAAGAATGTTTCTTATAAATGAAACTATATTTACGCAATTAACACATTTATTTTAATTTTAATTCCCGACGTTACAGAGTTTATGGTCACGTCACAGACTGAGGCGTAGGACATCTGGATGTCATAGCTACCGTCAGTTTTTAAATTGTTTTTTATTTATCCACGCAGAAGGTGCTAGTTGTATCTTGCCTTGTATTTGTGGTTCGTTTGGACCTATATTTAATTTTATTGATCATAGGATCCTAACATCAAAAAACTACTTTAATACGTTCCTTAAAATTAAAGTAGTTTCAATGAAACACGCATTATTTTGTACCAAGGAAATCGTCGAGATATGAATACGATGGTGTCAATTGCTCCGGATAATGTTTTCGTTACTTTCATCTTTTTCTCTCCGACGCGTCGGAGGTTTGGTTTTTCATACCTTTGTGTGTTGTTTAATATAAATTTATGCTTAAATAAGTGACATCTTTCAGAATAACTTTGAGTCTATCTAATAAACTTATTATATCTCTTATCTAACCATTTTCATTCATAAAATCGCAGAAATAAAGTATTTTACATTTTTGTCGCACCTTAGTATGGGCGGGGAACCACAGTGCGACGGGACGAACGTGCTCACAAGAAAAACGAAAATAAAGTAACACTTAAGACAGGAAACCAATGAAGTCTGTGCTCAAACATTTACCCTATGAAGGTTTCTTCTATGGTTATTGGTATATACGTATTTAATTGGGGTAGATTTTAAAAGGATATGGCAAAAGTGCAAATGAAACACTAAACAAGAGAAACAAGTATGTTAATTAAAGAATGGAGCCTGAACATAAGCAACCTTTAATAAAAAAAACAATTCAACTTTATGGTACAATGACAAAAAATCTCGTTATAAGGAAGAAGAATAACATATTTCCATTTTACTCGTACTATAGTATTATTTGCCGTATATACTGTTATATTTACCGAAACGCGGATAATAAATAATTCTTCGCGTTGTGTAAGCATCAGTTATTTGCATCTGTCGCCACAATTTAAATATAAATCACGCAGGTTGCGGTGTTGGTGTTTCATCATTTTGACTACAGAGCAAATAAAATTAAATAGACCGTTCGTAAATAATAACATAAAAGTGAACCTTCATTTATTAAATCTACACTATTAAATTTTGTTTATTTCCGTTATTTATTATTATTTTTTTAAATGAAAGTATTAAGCATAATATTTTTTATTATATTGTATCTAATGATAAAACTGATTTTAAATATCGACATAAAAATCTTATTGTATAGCAGTAAAGAGATTATTTTTTTGTCCAGGGTACTAATGGAGTTTAATTAATATTTAAAAAAAATACGATCAACATAAAAACAGCAACGTTAAGATCGTTATCGGTTGTTAATTTGCATGCGATGAAACTTCCATAATTGCCAATTAACGGGCCTAATTCACAATATTACACAATCGTTTTATCGATATCGTCAACGAATACGAGTAGTGTCGAACGAACAGTTGAACTGTAATTATTTCAATATGACTAGAAATGGAAACGCGTCGAGTTATTATGGGCGCGTTACGTTGGCATTATGTGCAATTTTCTCGAGGACCTATTAGCGCGTCGCTCGGGGCTGCATGCGCTGGGTGCCTGTGCCCCAGTGCTCCAGGGGTTCAAGAGCGCATCTATACGGGCGCGTTTGTAGGTCCAGACGGCGCTACTAGGGGCCGGGTGCCGAGGCGGGGCGGCGCGGCGCAGTGCGACGCTATCGAACGGCCCGCCAAACGCGAGGGGGGAGGGGACGCATCTGGGGTTGCCGAGTAAATATCGATATCATGATATCGATATACCGTTCCGCCAACTGTATCAAATTTAGTCGATGTCTCTTTAGCTAACTGCGATCGAGTTACAGTATGTCATCCAATTTAAATGCGATTCTTCGGGATAGAATATTTAGTACTCGAATAATAATTTATTTTTAAGTAAAATTTTATATTTTTTATTGCTTTTGGTGTCTTTCACAACATGCTGTATGATATCATATCGCGAATGGAAAATTTTACCGACAACTCCACCCACAGGTTTTGATAGAAAATCAAGTGAATAACAAGAACATTCAAAAGGCCAAATACAGCTCAATGAAAAATAGATTTTTTTGCATAATAAAACAACTGAAGCGTTGCAATCGAGACGATTGTAAAGTCGATTCGGTATCGATTTGGAGTCGAGCCGATGCGCGCGGCCGTTGAGCGCGGCGGGTGGTGGTGGCGTCGCGGCGGCGGCCGGCGGCAGTGTGCTGGCAGCCCCCGGGAGCGCGGCATGGGTGGCGCGCTGCTGCTCGCGTTGCTGGCGGCGGCGCGGGCCGGCGAGCCCAACGCGACGAACGCCACGCTGCAGCCGGACGAGGAGAAGGCGCCGCTCTTCCCCGAGGACCTGTTCACGGAGGAGCAGAGACGCTCCGGCGCGGTCCTCCTCCACGTGCTCGGCATGGGCTACATGTTCGTGGCGCTCGCGATCGTCTGCGACGAGTTCTTCGTACCCGCGCTCGACGTCATCATAGAGAGGCTCGCGATAAGGGACGACGTGGCCGGCGCGACGTTCATGGCGGCCGGCGGCTCCGCGCCCGAGCTGTTCACCTCCATCATCGGCGTGTTCGTCTCGTTCGACGACGTCGGCATCGGAACGATTGTCGGCTCGGCCGTGTTCAACATCCTGTTCGTGATCGGTGCCTGCGCGCTGTTCTCGCGGACCACCCTCTCGCTCACCTGGTGGCCCCTCTTCCGCGACTGCACCTTCTACTCGATTAGCCTGCTAGTGTTGATATATTGCTTCCGGGACAGCATGATATACTGGCAGGAGGCGCTCGTACTGTTCTCCCTGTACGGCGCCTACGTTATGTTCATGAGGTGGAACCAGCCCGTGGAGAGGGCGCTGAAGAAGCTCATCTACAAGAACAAGGTGACCAGAGTTAGAAGTACTGATCAGCTGATGCCTACGGTAAGCTCGCCCGCACACCTTGCATGCTTAGTCTTGACGTTGATTTGTCGTAACGTAAATTCGCATATCAATATTAATTTAATATCAATTTCAAATCCACGTCAATATAGCGTATGAATATTAGACCATCTTGAACGAAGTACACAATAGTTTAATACATCTAGTGTTTTAGTACAGTTAGCTTGAGTTTAATACAATACTTATACACATGCATATATTGTGATCATGAGAATGAATTCGTTTAACGTAGACCATAGAGTTCATTTATTGTTAAATGAATAAAAAGCTTTCCTGGGAAAAGGATATTCAGATCAGTCTTGTCGCGTAAAACACATGTGAATGACGAAACGATGAATGAAGGTGGGTCTATTTATTCAACGTAGCTTTGTTGTGAATACGGACAGGGTAGGTATATTCGTGTGATTCGTAGACGGCCGTCCGTAGCGTTCGTAGCGTAGATTTGTTTATAATGGACTAGGCGAGAGGTGTCCTGTTTGGGGCGCGTTGTTATGACGACTGCTCACTCTCACCCCTGCGTTCATTTACGTAACAATGGCGTGCCACGCTCACGTGTGCATTTCGGCTCTACGTAGCGTAAGAGCCCTTATAACCCTACCATAGTGCTCCGTAGCCTGAGGGAGGATTGGCAAATCGTTGTTTTATCGCAGTTGCCCATCGCCCGATAGCAACGCCCTAATTCTGACTAAGCGTCGTTGCGTGAATTTTGTTTGTATGTTAAATATCGTTGCGTTATTTTCATATTGTTAAAAATTCATAAGGGATAAAGTGATCTCTTTCATCAGTGTCATCCGTATTAAATAATGCAATATCACGAATATTTAATATTTTTACCATACTAGAACAATAAAATTGCTGACGAGTGCTTGGCTAATGAGCATGGGTAAGAGACGAGAACAGGCACACATTTTACAGCACTAGTTAAGGTTAACCTTTTAGGTGAAAACTATTGTTTCAAATGTGCGCCGCTGCATTTCCCTTAAACAAAACGTACTCATGAAAAACCACCGTTACGTAAGCGAAGCCGCAAACAATCGTGAGTATTGTACGCGGACTGTAGCGGCGCTGCTTCTTGAACTCGCCGTAGACGGCTACGGCACTGCCTTAGTGTAATAGCTCTGTAAACTACAAAAATATGCATTGTTTCACTCCACCAGTAAAAATAAGTACTTGGGTAGAAACTTTATTAATGCCAATATCCCAAAAAGGCGGGACATTTTTACTTAAATTTCCATAAGACTTTTTAAATATTGTATTACATTAAAAATAATTACAAATTTGTTTAATCAAAATTGTTCTACACAATATGGAACAGCTACGATAAAGATGAATTACTAATGAAAAAAATATATGTAAAGAAAAATATTCTTTTCTTTTATATATATAACATACAATAAAGAGTAATTCATTGTAGAGATTGGCATTGACAGGTTCCAGATGCATTGCCAGCCATTAAAAAAGTGAGTCCCGGTTACCTCACTCACCAGATGAAACGCGGAAATTTAATACTTCCGGACGAGCCTGGCACTAATTGCAACAACCGTAACTTATGCGTGGCCTAGCCAGCCTAGTTTTATTTTATAACCACTAAAAAGTAAATTAACAGCCTATATATGTCCCACTGCTGGACAAAGGACTCTTCTGCTCAGATGGTGTTAGGGCATAGTCGACCACACTGCAGATTGGCGGACTTCACATATCTTCGAAATATTTTTTTTGTTAGTATCGAAAATATACTCATGGTATTTTCCTTCACCGCTGAGCACGCGACAAGTTAGTCAGCACTTAAAATTAACAATTTTATTGGTGCCGGAATCGGAGATCGAACTCAGGTTGCAAAAGTATATTGAATTAAAAGCGAGGGCCTGGACAATGAACTATCACGGCTACCACTTATAACCACTACTTACTGCTTTATTAAATATGGGTCTATTCATGTTTTCAATTCATGCATTTATCCATACATCCATATATATATATATATATATATAATAGATCTCCACCGATAATTGACTCATCACGATATCTCTGAAACCGTAAGGCGTAAAGACTTGTAATTTGGCAAGAACATTCCTTTCGCCGAGTAGAGGTCAACTAAGAACGGATTTTACGAAATAACAACATTTGCCGGATCAGCTAGTTTGTCATATGCTAGTATGTCTTCTATTTATATTAAAGATCTCGCATAAAGTGAAGTGAATTAATTAAATCCCTAATCCGTTTTACAGCGAACAATATGCCCTTTTAATCCCATAGTACACAGTCTATCTTTTCGATATTTCATTCAGTTAGGTTATACTATGTTTTTAATGTATTTGTAAAGTTAACGTTTAGCTCTATACGGTAAGGTCAGCCATTACTCTATGTAGCAGCTGTGTTTTGTGGATACCATTAATCCGCGTAGACGTTGCATAACAGTTTGGCTGTGAGAGATTCTTGCGAAAAGTTTATTGTACTTATGTGATAGGGTCAAACATTGGCTTCTGTTGCACGAATGGGCAGGGTCGTATGGGGCAGTATCACAGCCACACAGAAGAGTCTTCTTATAGTATTATACTTTTTTTTGTGTTTCAATAGTTAGTGAGGTAATCGGGGCCCTCTTTTTTAAGTTTGCAACTGCCTCTATCAGAACGTACTATCATGGAGACCTTAATAGATAATATCAAACTGCAAGGGGGCTCTAATATGAAAACACCTCAATATTCATTTTTATTATGTTTGTTTGTTTAAAAGTTTTTCGACAGTTTAGTGTTTAAAAAGGGAACGAATACTACGAACGAATACTACATACGGTTCTCTTAAAAAAACAATCGACAATGTTCTTTTGGTTTTGGAACGTTCTATAAAATGGCTACGTCTGCCTGCAATTTAGAATTAAGTGTGTAAGTTCCATGTAACTTAGTATTGTATATTATGTCATTTTAGTTGGAACACCATCATAAATAAATAAAACTTAATGAACCGAGTAAAGACTTTAATAATATTATTCGTAAATTCCGATGTTAATTAATGAATGAAGATATTGGAAATAAATCTCATCTTTCAGATAATCGAACAATTAGTATTGTATCGCACTTGAAGTACGTCCACTTTTATTCATTATTAATTGTGTTTTAAAATCAATTATTTGTTTTTGTGTTTTAAAATTATGAAGTATTTATCTCGCCTTCGCCGTTCGTTTCAGCGAGCTGGCGGTCCACCTGATGTTAAGTGATATCCGCCATCCATGGACTTTTGCAACACCCGAAGGCTTTCAGATGCGTTGCCACCTTATAATGGAAGTGGAACACGCGCAGATTTATATCAGTTCCACTTCACACCGATCTTGTGTGGGGGTCACGAACTCGAATGAAGTCTTTAAAATTTTTATGTATCGTATATCCTCCAACTTGTGAAGAGCAATCGGAGTTCGATCCCCGGTGAAGTTTTTTAACTTTAAGTGTTGACTTATCATGTGCTCGGCGGTGAAGGAAAACATCGTGAGGAACCTGCATATACCTGCATATTTTCGAAATAATAACAAAAAAAAATATATTTCGAAAATATGTGAAGTCCGCCAATCCGCAGTGGGGTCGCGTGGTGGACTGTGCCCTGATACCCTCTGTATAGAGGAGGCCTTTGCCCAGCAGTGGGACATGTATAGGCTGTTACTTTACTTTTATCCTCCAATAACGGTAGTAGATTATTTTTGACATTCTAAAAGAGCTTAAGCCTTAAAATTAACTCGCTATTTAACGCTCTAGCCACTGAGCTAAACGGCTGATTGCCACACCGACGAAAATCTTAACGTATTCTTACGCCACGCGTCAGGCCGCGAATGCCGAAGACGATTCCCACAGCGGCGACAATCTTTTCGTACTTTTTCTACATATTTTAATGTTCAATCTTAAGTGCAAAGATTAGCACTATAAACAATTTAAATTTCTAGAGCTTAAGCCTATATTGAATAAAGATACATTGACTTTGACTTAGCGTCATCGACTCCGGAATCTACATAAGGTGCTATTATGGTTTCGTATTCATTAAGAATTTACTCGTGCAACATGGCCGATTTATTCTTAAATATTCTTAAATATTCAATCTTGATCTTTTCTTGGGAAATGAGAAAAGCTGCAAGAAACAAAAAAAAACAACGGACTTTATAAATAGAGAATCCATCCTATTTTTATCAGGGTTAATTTTAATCAGTCAGAGTAAGCTCATATTACAATTTCCAAGGCTTCTTTGTTATCCTTTTAGAAAAATAAATATTCGGAAATTCCTCACTTTTCTTCCGTACTTCCCACACGAGCAATAACAACAGGGTATCTTAATATCATACATAATACGCTGACACTCATATGTGTATATTAAACCTAAAGAGCCCAAAGCCGCCATATATCTTTCGCGTTTTAATTGAAGCCTAACACGGAGCGTATTAAAACTCTTTTGATGTTCCACAATAAATTTCCTATTACGCATTGAATGGACGTAAAACGCGCCCATAAAACGAGTTTAAGTGTTGACACTGCTTTTGATTAAATACACAGCTTTCATCGCGTTTAATATGTGCGGCCTTGAAATTCAGAATTAGGTAGGAATGTCTCTATTTCAAAAGCAAATAATACTTACTCTCATAGACTCATAAGGTCTGGATAATGTACGCATGTTCAAAACAGAATTTTAAAGAATAACTATTTTCAATATAAAGCGTATTCCAAATTCGAAAATGCAATGTAAAATAGATTTAACACTATGTAATTGTAATTTAAAATAGATACTAATGTTAATAATTTAACATAGACAGAGGGGTTGTGTGGTGAACAGTGTGTGCGTTTGCCCCACGGTTGTTACTTTACTTAACTTATTTTACTATTTTTATGGTAAAATGACTGCGATCTATTTGATTAACTTTTTTGAAATTGTTTGACAGCTTCTGTTGTTGTTTTTTTTTTATTGATTTAATGTATTTTTATGCATAATTAAAAAAATTGCATTTTGCACTCCTCCTTTATATAAACTATATGTGTGGGAAACATACTCCTCCGTCCGCGCAATTCTCGTAAAAAAGGGTGAACGTTTTTGCTTCACGTATATATAGGTTTTTATTGTGGTAATATGTTTATGCACAATATCAACTGAAACATATTTGAAATTGTCAAAAACTCTGTTTCGTCTGACAGTTTAGATTAATGAATATTTTGTGACCCAGGGTCAAAATTCATCGGAAATTAACTCTGCGGATGAAAGTGTATTAAATTTTGAAGCTTTATGTTAACCTATGTCACGTTAATAGTACGCTGTTTAACATAAAATTACCTGCCGCCGGGAAAGAGTTAAATAGTTAACAGTTGAATATTAATTAGTCTGCGTAGACCATTAATTTTAAAACATAAATGGATGGTAATTCCTTGTATTGTCTGACATTTTAGTGTTTATAAAAATTTATAGCGCATACCATAATATCGGACAAAGAGCTTTGTTCGGCGCTGAGACAAAGTACTATACCAGAGTATACATTTTCCTTTTAAAGAGCGATATTTATAGATAAGATATCAGAACAAAAGAATGCCTCATTACAGTGGAGCGCTGTATAACAAAGAAATTTGCACTGCGGTGTCGGAAATTTCGAATTGATAATTCTCTAAGTTGCTTCACCTTGTAATGAAAATGCCTAATACGCTATTAAAACGTAAGAATAATCAAAATCCTTAAAATTATTATTGTTATTATTTTTCTGTGAAAAATTTTCAAAATAGCGTGCGGTTCACCTGATGTTAAGGTAAGACCGCCACCCATTGACAATACCTGAGGCCTTGTTACGACCAATGTTTGTTAAAAAGTTGTCAATGCATCTATGTCTTTTCAACAAACATTGGTCAGACGAAACGCGAAAGTATACTTTGTTTCAAACTTTATACATTTTACTTAAAAGATAAAATTACTGCAGTCCTTAGAACGTTTAGTGTGTTAAGTTATTGTATTGACCAAAATGATATACCCACCATCAGATGGTAGCAGTAAACCCTACGAAAAGATAAAAAATGAATGAGAACGCACCATCTGATAAAATACTAAGACCAACTAAGGTAATATTAGTTGGATCTTGTTAGAAATCTACGAGCATGAAC